AACAAATCCATTAAATCAAAAAATCTAAAACTAAAAATATTTCATATATCAAAAATATATTGATTACACATTAAAATTCTAACAACCACTCATTACATAATCATCATCCAAACACATAATAAAAATTAATTTGATAAAATTTTCGTTAAATTAGTTTCTATTTTTTCAAAATTCAAATATGGCGACAATTTTGATATCATTATTAAACAAATCCATTAAATCAAAAAATCTAAAACTAAAAATATTTCATATATTAAATATATTGATTACACATTAAAATTCTAACAACCACTCATTACATAATCATCATCCAAACACATAATAAAAATTAATTTGATGAAAAAAAATGCCTAAAAGATTTATTAATTTTATACAATTTTATTTTTAGTGGATAGAAATAATTTTAAAAATTTTAAAAATATTTTTTTGATATTTATTTTTGTCAAATTAGTTTATATTTTATCAAATTGACAATTTTGTCATTAAAATTAAGCAATGGTATTTTCAATTGTCTTTATTTGAAACAAGATTCAAAATTTAGGGTCAAATATGTCACAATTGAAAAATCAATGATCAAAGTGACACGAGCTCCAAACTATAGAGACGGTTAATATAATTCACCTTACATTAATTAGTATACCAATTAATACATATAACACCACTACTTTAATTTACTTCACAACCAAACCATGTTTCTCCTTATTTATAGCATCATTTTATGAATAATACTATATGTACCAATTAGTGTATTAATTAATATACTAATTATTGATGTGACATAATTTAAAATATTTTTTATATTTATAATTTATATAATAAGTGATGACAATAATAATATTATAATTAATGTTGGTACGTACATTAATTGGTGCATGTGTTATTTTATTGGGATTGTTTGGGGTATTCTAAATAAGTGCACTTTTTGACTTTTTAGACAAAAAAGTAAAGGAAAAAAAATAATTATTTAAGAAAACTTTTTAACTTTTTACAAACAAATAAATGTATTAAAATATTATATAAAATAGAAAAGCACCATATTACCCCTAATATGGTGATTGCCTATTGACAGTGAATAGAGTAAGGAAGCCCTTGAATGGGATTTCACCCGACAAGTCCTCCATTTTTTCAACTTCCCCCAACTCTAGATTGATCTCATCCTTTCTTGCATCTCTTCTTCTTCATTTGCAATCCTGTTTAATGGTGGTACAACTGCAACCTTTCAACCCTCCCGAGGTATTCGTCAAAGTGATCACCTTTCACCCTACATTTTTATCCTATGCTTGGAATACCTTTCACTCTCTATCACCCACGCTTGCAACCTCCAAATGTGGAAACCCATACAAGTGTCCCGAGGTGGCCCATCCCTATCACACATTTTCTTCGTCGATGACCTTATCCTCTTTGGCGTAGCAAACACCTCAACCTGTCAAACCATAGCGAACACCCTTCAAAATTTCTGCGAGATGTCGGGACTCCATATTAACTCCACCAAATCCAAAGTCTTTTTCTCAAACAATGTGGATGACCAAACCCGCTCCATGCTTGCTAACCAACTCCAAATCCCCCATACCTTGCACCTTGGCAAATACTTGGGTTGCCCCATCCATCATGACAGACCAAATGCCAATTCCTTCAATTTCATCATTGAGAAGATCCAGAACAAACTCACTAGTTGGCGAGCCAAACTTCTTTCTCCAGCAGGCAGAACTACCATCATTAAATCTGTTAATGCTGCCATCCCCACCTATATCATGCAAACCAACTTCCTTCCGAAGAAAACCATCCAAACCATTGACAAGCTTAACAGAGACTTCCTGTGGAGATCGACGCCGGAAAAAAGGAAACTCCACGCTGTGAATTGGAAGAATGTCTCCAAACCCAAACATCTTGGTGGTCTAAGAATCAGACAAACCCTCCTGGTCAATCAAGTGTGCATGGCCAATTTAAATTAGCGTCTAGCAAATGATAACCAGTCACTGTGGATTAGAGCTCTCAAAGCCAAATACCCAAATAATCCCAATCCTAGGAGGCGCGCCTCTCCCATTTGGAGAAGTATCCTTAAAGGTAAAAACCTCTTTGACAAAGGAACCAAAATCCTCATTAGAAGTGGGTCTAACACTAGCTTTTGGTTCGACAATTGGACCAACCTTGGCCCTCTGCGTCACCTAGTGGAAGGCCCCCTTACTCGCGAGGAAACTACTCTCACAGTCCGCGATTGCTGGATTTCAACTCATTGGAATTTTAATAAACTGTCCATACCAATCCCATCAAACATCATTTCCCAAATTCAAACTATCACGCCGTGTTGGTTTGGACTTGCACCCGACATGACCTCTTGGACTCACTCCCCCGATGGCCTTTTCACCAACAGTTCTGCATACTTACTTTCCAAAAACTTCTCCACCACCCCTCCCTTATCCAGTTGGGATTGGGTTTGGAAACTCCCTACCAGACCAAGAGTGGCCCATTTCATTTAGCTAGCCCTCCAACAACGTCTTCCCAGCAAAGACCTCCTATATTCTAGAAACATCACCTCGGTTAGTTCTTCCCAACTTTGTGGGTCATCTCCAGAAACAACCCTCCATGCCTTGAGAGACTGTACTTCTGCGATAAGTTTTTGGGACTCACTCATTATCCCCACTAAGGTCTCACCTTCTTTCAACCTTAGCTCAACGGAATGGCTCAAAACCAACTGCCTCTCCACTGAGCCTCACTCATCTTCAATTCCTTGGGCCATTGTCTTTCCCCTTGCTTGTTAGACCATTTGGAAAAATCGAAACTCTGCCTGCTTCAAGCCCACTCCCCCAAACCCACTCAAACCTACCTGGACCATTGCTCTAGCCACCTAGTGGTATCACCTTTCCTACACCACCAAACCCCGTGCCACTAAAACCATTGCTTGCAGTTGGAAACCACCCCCCTTTCCTTGCTTCAAACTTAACACTGATGGCGCGGCAAATGAACATCATGCAGCCGCAGGCGGTATCATTCGTGACAGCCATGGCAATTGGGTCTCGGGCTTCTGCAGATTTCTGGGCAAAACCAACAGTCTAACTACTGAATTTTGGGCCCTTAGGGATGGTCTCAATTTGGCTTTTGAAATGGGTCTTACTCCAATTGAAGTTGAATCTGATGCTCTCACTCTTGTGCACATGGTATTAACTAATTGCAATGACCAACACCACCATAGCAATATTGTTCATGACTGCAGGTTCCTCCTGGACAACCTCGGATCACCAACTGTTAAACACATTTTTAGGGAAGCAAATCAAAGTGCGGATGCGCTAGCCAATTATGGGCTACTCATGATGGATGGGAATTTTCATGTTTTCTCCTACCATCCATCTTCTTTTATTTCTCAGATGGTTATGTATGATGCTATGGGGATTCTATATCCCAGAACTATCCTGTACTAGCTATTTATTCTATATCAAGCTTATATTTACCAAAAAAAAAAAGAGTAAGGAACCCAATACGGTGGCCAGCATACATCGGAAGATGTATAGCAGAAGTTGCCTCCAATCCGAGATCAGGCTGGATAGTATCGTTTGGCCTGTGAAGGCCTATCACGGGTTCCTTTTTGATAATCGGAACCGTTCAATGTGTAGAACTCATCGAGTACTATATATTTGTAAAAAATCACGTTGATTGAATATCGATAGCTATCTCATCGAATTAATATTTTGTTGACCATTAATTTGTTCATCGTCTTTTTTTATACAAAACTGATTTGATCATATAGTTATCGATATCTAATCAATTTGATTTTTTATAAATATATAATACTCGACGAGTTCTATATATTGAACGGTTTAAATTATCAAAATAGGACCCGTAATAGGCCCCTACAAGTCGAACAACACCGTCCTACGTATATTTTTTGTGCACTCGCCTGTGCAGATTGTATTATCACTTCAATAGACTTGTTGACTGTACTTTTTTTTAAATGTATTTTTTATATTATTTTTTATAAATAGTAATAATTTTTTGATTTTTTTATAAATTTTTTATTTTTTATTTTTTTTATAACATGCCAAACTCTGCGTAAGCGGTTGACAACGGCACGGCTAATTAACAACCTAACGGTTCCGTTAGTGCAGCCCAAGGCCTCAGGCACGGGATCTCTTTAACACTGGGTCCCACTTGGTGGGTCCCACACCAACAACTCGGCCTTCATTCGTTGTATCTAGAACACTCCGGCCACTTGCCCTCACTCGCTCTTTCAGACAAAAAAGCTCTCTCTCTCTCTCTCTCTCTCTCTATAGCCGGAGCCTGCTTTCTGTTTGTTTCTTGGGAAAATCCTCTGGATTATTGCTATTTTCACGCCTTTATATTTCGCTTCACAGACCTTTGATTCATTGAAATCTACTTGACTTACTTCCTCGAAGATTAATCTGTAATTTTTGTCTCTTTTTCTTCTTTTTGTTGTTGGAATTATTCACTGATGACGAAGTATTGTACTCGTCATTGATTGTTTTTGTCATGATATGTTGTTTATTTCGCTTTATACAGTGTATGTGATCGATTAATCGGCTATCTTATCTGTTGTGTCTTTGATTTTAGTGTCATCGTCTTTACCAAATTAAACCAAACCACTTCGAATTAGGTTTTACGCTCTTGTTCACATTTTTTTTTCGTAACTTCTAAAGTGTATTTTGCTTCTTTCTCTTTGTGGATTCCTGAAAATATTATTATGTTTTAGGGATGAAGTTGTTTTTTGGCTGATTAACTTACATTTTTCGATTGTAGGCCAATGGCACAATTTCAGAACCAAGAATACATGGTTGAAGATGATTATGACATAAATAATATCGATGATAATCCCTTTATGGACATCGAATCACATAGGAACAGTGTTGATGAGTCTCTGGACTCAGATTTTGAGGACGACATCGAGTTGGTATGTTTTAATCTACCATTGTTAATATATTATATTATTATGGGTGGTAATGGACAGCCGATCAAAAAAAAAAGGTGGTAATGGACTTTTGGGTTTACAGAGCAAGGCAAAAACTGATACTTCAGCTTTGGAAGCTAGAAATGGCAAAGATATTCAGGGAATTCCTTGGGAGAGGTTCAATTTCACCAGAGACAAGTACCGTGAGACAAGATTGAAAGAGTACAAAAATTACGAGAACCTTTCACGCTCTCGTGAGGAACTCGTTAAGGTCAATCTTTGCCTCTTTCCATTTGTTTCAATGATTGCTACTGTTGTATGATCAATTATAGTTCTGTCATGAAGGCTGTTTCGGGGAGTTGAAAATCTATGGAGGATTCAATTCCTCTTTATGGAAAATAAAAAATAAAAAATAAAAAAAGGGTTGCTCCCTTCTTATAAAAAAAGTGTTGAATCTCTCCAGTCTTGGGTTGTAGTTGTGTGTTACCAAATGTGTTTTACGTTGGGTTGAGAATCCTTTTAGCCATAGGAAAGATAAGTGAAGAAATGGAAGCTGGGAATCTCCCATTTGGTTAATTATTGACTTAGATTTAATATTCCTTACTTAAATTTTTGGATCTTTGATTAATTATTGACTTAGATTTAATATTCTTTACTTCAATTTTTGGATCTTTATTTAGTTGTAGAGGTTCCGAAGAGGTTTACTGGGCTTCATAATTGAGCACCCTTTTCAATGAAAGAAATAAAACAATTTTTTTTATCATTGTAGGGGACCCTGTATATTCTCTCTCATTCATGAAGTCTACACTAGAAGTGTCATGGAAGTAGTTTGATAGCTTCTTATTTTTTAATAAGATCCTGATAAATTTTACACATGATCCCGAAGTTAGTTGTGTTTCTTCATCCAATAGAGTTGTGTTTCATCTGTTGAGCCCTGTTGCTAAAAATATAGTGCTGACAGGAGTGCAAGCAGGTGGAGAAGGGCCACAGCTTCTACGACTTCCAGTTCAATACAAGGATTGTCAAATCGACAATTGTGCATTTTCAGGTAGAGACGCTCCCAACTGATTTTAAAGCTTTAGTTTTTACCTAGAATCCTTCTGGTTGCTATGGAGGCATATCTTATGTAGTTTCAGTTATTTTATATTCTTATATTCAATAATTATTGAGAACTTTACTTCAAAGCAGAATTTTTTAATTAACTTGAACGAAAGCCTCTACAACTTACTTCAAAACATGTAAGATATTATGTCCAATATTTTGTCCCCTTACCTTTTTAATATTTTTGAATGGGCATTGATTGGAGTCTCACCAGTAGTTATTTGTGTATCTAAACTAATTATGCTATCAAACCCTATGTATTTGACAATCTTTAAGATATCGTTGCCTCCATTCACATGGATAAGAAATTGCTTATATTTGTTGGGATTATCACTTTCTCTAATTTTCAATTCTAGTGTCAAACAAAGCGATTTATTCTTTTTTCTAAAACCACTTTGGAATTGGGTACATGCATATCAATGGTGACAATAGTTTCGCAGGTTTTGCGCATATATTAACACTTTTGGATACCTTAATTTATTGTTGTAGCTCTGTTCTCCCGTCATTCTTTTGAAGGTATGAAGTTTATAAATGCTGCCTTATGTTAAAGCTTAGGAGATTTTGTAATTTATTTGTAACAATGATGTGATTGGTGCCCAACTACTAACAAAACTTTGAGCAGTGTTCCAGATTAAATCATGTTCTAATGAGATCATTATGCTTGAGACAAACCTTCTTGTGGCCTGCAAACTGGTGAATTTGCCTTGCCTTAAATTAAATTATCATAATTATCCTTACCTTCCTCATAACAAAGGTGATTCTGTGCAGGCTAGCATAGATATTGTTAATAGAGTTGGGCTGTTGCTAGCATTATTTTGTTGTTTCCTGAGTCAGAAGGATCTGTTTGGAGAATTTTACCTGAAATACTCTGGCAGCAACAAAAAAATCTTGCACTTGCCCTTCTCTGTATATATCATCTGGTATTAGAATTAAGCTTTTTCCACTGATTTGTTTTTGCTTCTGCCCGGTTCAAGTAGCATTGAGCCGGGTCATGTATTTACTGAATCCTTTTTGTGCAGATTATTTACACTTGCCAAGTTTCACATCCATTTTTATAAAATTACAAGATCTGTATTTGGAAGGTACAATCATGAATATGTACAAATTGGTATCTGAACAGCTGAATATTTTTGATGCAAAGTTATGGATGAGGAAGCATTGTGGTGAGGATATAATGGCTTTATTGAGATCTGCAATTTGTTAATGATGTAGATGTACCTTTCAATGCTTTGATATTGCTCTTTGGTTGTTAAATTATTGTACATGCTACCGTACACAATTATGCTTTTTTGCGCATAAATGCATCTTTGTATATTTTATATTCACCTCCAAGTCAGCAATGCATGCAGCATTAGTGTTATCACATCAAGTTATTTATTTATTTTTGATGGTTTCTCTTGGTTTATAGTGTTGAAAGATAGTCTAGTATGTAATGAGTCTTAAGATTGAGCTATGATTCTTTTTCTATTTCATTGTCTTCCAGTGGTTTGTTCTGTGATATTTATTATCTGTTGTGTGACACTGACGAACTATGTGTCTAGTAGTGACTCCAAATCAGCAGAGCTTCAGCTATAATTGCATCTGTGACTACTTTCATTCTGTTTTATGTTGTAAATAGTTGATCTGTTAATGTAGATTACCTCCTCCCTCTTAAGACATCCAAATATGTGAGAGATTGTTAATGCACCATGATTAGATTTTGTCCAAATATGCGTCAAACTTAACTATATCCATTTGTTGATGTATGTCAACAGCTTGAGGTCCATGGTTCACGTGGTTAGTCATCTTAGGTATCTTAGAGAATGGAACACTTTGTGAAGAGATTTGAAAGCTTTTTTTATGCTAAGAGGTCAACATTTTGTCTTCCGCAGACAGTGGTATGGAAATACTTTAGTCACTTTTTTTTAAAAAAAAAAATGCTAAGATCTTGTGGCATATGTAACACTTGAATAAGCATTTTTTTTGAGTTATTAGAGAATAACATGCAGTGGATCTTAAATGACACTAGCAATAGATCTTTGTAGTTATGTTTTCTTTTTCTTTTTGAATTTTCCCCCTTGACATATATTGGCAGTAACATGGTAGTTTATTGGTGCATCATGGTTGGCTATTCGTTGACCCGACAATCTGTAAATCTATATAGTTTGTCATTGTAGCCTCTTTGTTGTTGCAGTCTGTATGCTTTAATTTTTTCCAATACAAATTTAGATTCATAATAAATAAATAAAAAAGTTTTCTGGTTGCTTGAAGACCTATCTATGTATTGATTTGGTTGATCAACTGATTTTAGCTTGAGTTATTGATTGTCACTGGTAATGGTGCAAATGTTGATTTGCCTGCATTGGGAGCTTTGATTTTAATTAGGTTCTTATTCTTGACTGTTTAATTTGGCTTTTTGATTGCATGTGGGAATGCCATCTCATCTTTATTTCAGCTTTAAAGCAGGGTGGCAGTTAAGTCTGAGCAGCTGGTGCATAAGAATACCTTGTTCATATGGTATGCTAGGGGACATATCTGAGCATTTAAGAGGCCTCTGTAGAAATACCTGCAATTAACATTGATGTGTCCTTATTGTTGGGGGCTCATTAGAACTATTGTTTTCATGTTTATTATCTCAGTAACACATAAATTGCTGTACTGTTTTGTTTAAAAATTCCATATTAATTTGACTATCAATATCATTCTGGCTGAGATCTTTCCCTGATTAGTGGTTAATTATACCCATTATGACATGGATGAGTTTTGTAAATTGGTGCCAACATTTACCCACAAACTGGGCATGTATCTTTCCTTGGTGTGATGTTTCCTTTACATCTTTAGTCATGTTATGTTTCACTAGGATTGTGTTATGCATGGATTTTTGAATGGTGAAGTCTCAACACTTTCTCTTTCATGTCTTTTATTCTTTTTCCCAGGCCGATATTTATTGCATTTTTCCTTTCCTTTCCTTTCCTTGGTGTATGTTTTCATTTGACTGTTGTTTTGGGCCTTAAGCAAAAGAACCCAAAGTTCGCAAGGCAATGATTAGACATTCTTCTGATTATCTACCTTCCATGCATTTAGATCTTTCTTGTTGGATGCATGAAATTTTTGCTCTTTGTAAGTAACATTGGCAATTAAGGTTTTGTTATTCTAGCTGAATCTTTGACTTGTTAAGTGTTATGGGTTCTCTAAGAGACATCGACCATCACATTTTAACTGTGTCTACAAGCTATGTTACTATTGTGTCCTTGAAATTTTGAACAACAGAGGTTCTGTACCAGCCCTTTTCTTCTTCTTCTTCTTCTTCTTCTTCTTTTCCTTTTTAAATACTGAATTAAGTCAGTCGTGCTTACCAGTTCCATTTACTAATTGGCATTGTCAAATAGCATGGTTCATATATTGTCATACGGCATACCCATAAGAATCGTCATATGGAAAGAAGAGCATTGTGAATAACACCGATTTTATTTTTCCTTTTTTTCCAACAGAAATAATGCTAATTTGATTTCTTTTGAGTGGATGACCTAATGTGTTCGCATGTTAACTTCCCTAATCCCTCCTATGCTGGGTCCCCTGGATTTCTAGCTTTTGGTGTAGCTTTCCTCAAAACTTGTGGAGTCCAACTAATCTTGCCTGCGTGAGGCAAACTAGGCTGCTAAGTCTGCTGTATTTGGCATGTCAGTATTTTCACAAGCAAGCCAAACTAGCAGCATGTACTTCTCAGCACAGTCAGAACGTTCATTTTTAAGTGGCATCTCATATTATGCATTTGGCTAATTAGAGGCACATGGAGTCAGTAACATGTCTAACGGTTTTTAAGGTTTAACCCTCAATTGGTGAATGGGTTGTGTCAGGTATTGGGTGACCATTAAATGGTTGCAATAATTAGTTACTTTTGGAACATGAGTAACTAGTACTCTTTGTTGTAAAAAGTTTTGGTAGTAATTAAGGGAATAATTTCTAGTGTATATTGTGACTCTCTCTCTCTCTCCTCTTTGGAACATGAGAAACTAGAACTCTTTTTTTTATGGAATCATGAGCATAATCTAGTTGTTTTCATTCCTACAATAAGGTTCTAGAAAATTACCTCTTGATGAATCATGTTTTTGTTGAGTTGGAAAAAAAATAATAATGCATGGACGAACTTTGGAATTGTTTTATTTTTCCAACTATATTGTCAGGATCTTATCAGTTCGTATATGCATTGGATGATTGGCAGAATATTGTTACTAAAGCCATTAGACTGAGTTTTTTCTTTCTGCAGTTAAGGAATCTTCTATGGGCGACCTCAAAACATGATGTGTACCTTATCCAAAACTATTCAGTAATGCACTGGTCCTCACTTCTGGGGAGGAGCAAAGAAGTGCTAAATGTTGCTAAACCGATTGTGCCCACACTAGTAAGAAACATCTTGTCTGAGTTTCTTTGTTTGCTAGTATATTCTGATAATTTGAAGCATAGAACAATTAACTTGGGATGCTTTTGCAGAAATACCCTGGTTCCTTGGCTCAGACACTCCACAGGGTCCAAATAAGCACTATGGCTGTTAAAGATAATCTACTGGTGGCAGGTGGTTTTAAGGGGGAGCTGATCTGTAAGGTATAATGTACAACCATTGAAGAACTAAAAGTTACTAGGGAGCTGATCTGTAAGGTATAATGTACAACCATTGAAGAACTAAAAGTTACTATTTTTTTTGGTCTTTTTCTGTCATTTTTAATGTTTTCTGAGAATTCTTCTACTGCATGCAACCACATAATTTTCTCACTTGTTCTTTTACTTGTTCAGTATTTAAACCAGTCTGGGGTTGCCTTCAGCACAAAAATAACCACAGATGAAAATGCTATAACTAATGCAGTGGACATATGCTACAATCCCAAGTTCGTTCAAATCTTAACTACATGCAATTGTAAGAATTATTAAAGCATGGCCTATGCGTTGATGTAGCATTGTTAATATGTTGGTTGTATTGCAGTGGCTCGGTGAGGATCATGACTGCAAATAATGATGCTCAGGTCAGGGTTTTTGATGCTGTGAACTTCAAGTGCATCGGCCATTTATGCTTCCCTTGGTCCGTAAATGTGAGTAGACCGGAAACTGCTGTCTGATACAAATCTCGACCTTCTGATATATTTCTCGAATTTCTAACCTGTATATTTTTACTGGTTTTGTTTGCAGAACACTTCTGTCAGTCCTGATGGTAAATTACTGGCAGTCCTAGGGGACAGTGCGGAGTGCTTAATCACAGATGCTCAGTCTGGGAAGGTTGGCTGCTACTCTATTTTCCGCAATTTCATTTCTTCAGGGTTTTCCTCGTTTGGGTCTTATTTAAACGACTCTTTGGCAGGTTCTTCAAAACCTCAAGGGACACTTGGACTATTCATTTTCTTCAGCTTGGCACCCCGATGGCCGAATTTTCGCAACAGGGAACCAGGATACTACATGTAGATTGTGGGATATTAGAAAACTGTCCGAGTCTGTGTCAGTACTCAAGGGAAGGATGGGTGCAATCAGAGCCATAAGGTTCTCATCAGATGGCCGGTTCATGGCGATGGCTGAGCCGGCAGACTTTGTTCATGTTTTTGATGCACAATGTGACTATGCCAAGGCACAGGAGATTGATCTGTTCGGGGAGATTGCTGGAATTTCCTTCAGCCCTGACATGGAAGCTCTTTTTGTTGGGGTTGCAGATCGAATGTACGGTAGCTTATTAGAGTTCAAGAGGAGGGACTATAACCATTATCTGGACTCCATGTTTTAAGAGGAGGGGTGCACCTCTAGAAGTTGGTTTGCATTTGTTGATGAATGTGTGTATTACAATTTAGGAGTCAAGTGTGTTTTTGAACAGTGGCCGTGGGATGCATTTGCCTAATGGGGTTCAGTTCTTAGATTTAAGATATCAACATTGAGTTCATCCTCTTGGAATCAGCCAGCAACAGGTCCCAAGTAGTTGTGGCTGCTAAGAGATTTTTTATTTTTATTTTTATTTTTTAAATCTGAAATAGGCAAAAATTTTGTTTGTATTAATGGTGTTCGGTGTTTTTGTATATATATATATATATTTTAAGTTTTTGTACATTTGATAGTATTAATGTGTTATTCACACTAGTATACCAATTAGTGTTGCATCATTGTTACTCGCTCCACCTATTATATATATTGTAAATATCTAAAAATTTTAAAATTATATCACATTATTTATTAGTATACTCGGTAGTATATTAATTAGTATATTTAGCATTATTTTTTTTTTATTTTTTGGTCACGGGAGTGGAAGAGTCTTCTCTTTGGTAGGGCGATGCTGTTATTGAGGGTGACAAAAAGGTGGGTGGGTTGGTTGGTAATTGTCTAATACATTGGAATTTATGATGATAGATGGATTCCAGATGTTGGTGCCCCCTATTTGTTACTTTTCTCAATTCTCTCTTTTACAAGCACATCACTTGCACAATCTGAGAGAGACGGTAAGCGTATGGACCCAATGCCTTTGCGTCGTGGACTTGTATTTCATGTACTCACTCTCTCAGTGTGTTGCAAAGTATTTTCCACGAGTTTTTTTTTTTTTGTTTTTTTTTCTCCACTTTTAATTGTAAAAATATTAATTAAACTTTCATAATCTAAGATTAGGCCATTTTTTAATTTGAGGAGTAACACTGGGAATATTAAATTTTTTATTAAATAAATAATCAAATGTCTCACATGGGTGTAGGGTTTTATGAGAAACATTTGATCATTTCTTTAATAAAAAAATTTTAATTTATAACATTTTCCGAACTTGAGCCTAATCCTAGTATTAAGGCCAACGTTTCTTTTTGAGTCCCTAAATTTTAACAAAATTTTTGGGGCTTTGAGCACCGGCTCGCCCATGCTTAAGATGGGCTTTAAAAATCATAAAATATTGATGTGACGATGATATAATAATTATGATTTTAATTTTCAATAAATGGAGATAAATAAGCAAATCATTCTCTATGATTTTAATTTTCAAATTCTTTTTTATTCCACTTTCTATTCTAATACGACACCATGCAAGTGATCAAATCCTAACATCACATAAATTGGAAAATATACATAGAGGTCGTTTTAGCATTGGTTAATATAATTAATTTTTTTGTATTGAAACTTTTTTAACTTAATTTTTTTAGTTTCGTTTGATTTTTATTTTGAAACTTTTTCACTTTTGGGAGAAAAAAAGTTTAATGATTATGAATAAAAAGTAATATTTTATCTTATTGACTTTTATAGTCAATTTAATCTTTTTATGATTATTTAGTTCTAAAATAAATGCCAAATCGGAGCATAGTTTCTACTTATTTGTAAATATATATATATTTTTTCATTTTTGTTAGCTTGCATTGCGGCTATAATTTGTCTCCTCACTCCTGGTATTAATGTCACTCAACTCCAGCTTTGGTAAATGACATAACAATCCTTACTATTAATTTGAATACCTCAAAAGTCAAGATATCATGTCAATGGCCTATAAGATTTATTACAATGTTAGAAAATATATATGAGGAGTGATGGAGACCCTATCCAATCACTACCTCACCACCCCATACACATGTGGTAGGTGGTGATTGGAGGACAAGGGAAACAAAAAAAAAATTCAACCAATGAGAGAGAGGGGGTCAAAGGGGATGGAAAAAAAGGGAGTCTTAGACATTTTTGAATATATATATACAATGTCAGAGGAAAAAAAAAAATGGAAGAAGAAGAAGAAGAAGAAGAAGGAAGTTCCTAGTCCGATTTCTGTTGTATTGGATAGCTACATGACATAAACAGCTCTCTATCAAAGAAGATTCAAGAGCTCGATTGGTATGGGAGTTGATTTTTTGACTATTTTAATTTGGAGTTAAAAATTTTTGTTTGGGATAGATTTTTTTTATTTTTTTAATTTTTGTGAGAGAAAAAATAATATGATTATGGATTAGATATGATATTTTGTCTCATTTACTGAAAATAACTTATTTTATCTTATATGACTATTTTAACCTCAATAAGACATGCCAACCCAGCACTCAACAATATGAAAAATCAAATCAGAGAAGAGGTATCAATCTAAAAAGATCAACAAAATTGAATATTAAATATAAAAAATCAGAAGTAATGAACGGCGTGCAAGAGCAAGAGGTGAAATATGATTGTTTTGACCAAGTTGAATGAGTATCATCAATAATATGATATAGCCCATACAATACAATACAAGGCCTTAGAATTGTCTTGAAAATACAGATTTGAGGACCCCAGCTGCCGATATTCTTAAAATTCATGCAATGAATCTGAAGCTAAAGAAAATCTTGGTAGTAGATAAGTTCAATCCGCGTGGGAGTGGAACTCAGACCTTACTGCTAGTGGTGTTTGTGGGGTTCAGTTTGAGTTAGTTTTGACCACAAAAAAAAAAATAATAATAATAATAATAATAATAACAATGCTACATACCACTAAATTTATATCACTAACACCATTACTAATAATGTGGAAAGCAAAAAAAAAAACAAAACAAAACAAAACTAAGGCACAAAATACATGTGGCATCATTAGAGCAACCACTAAGGAAAATGAGTGGAGGCACTAATTAGTGCTACCACTAATGGTGTGGCAGTGGGTGGGACCCACTGCCACAATGTTTTTGTGCCTTGTTTTTTTTTTTTTTTTTTAAAAAAAAGTGGGTGCCAACTCATTAGTGGTGCTAGCACCACTTTTAATGGGATGTAGCATTGCTGCAACCACTAATTAGTGGTCTGCATCATTTTTCTAATAATAATAATTAAACCATTTTTGACAGACTCAGAATATCCTGTCACCAGCGCATCCATCTTAAGAATCGGTGGTTTAATTGAAAATTTTAACGGTTTCAAACCAACAGTTGGAGTGGGTTGGATAGATTAGAAATACAAAATGATAGAGATTACAGGTTTCGAAAAGTGATTGTGGTTGTCGGGTGTAAATATTGTAACATAATGGTTAGGTAATTGGAATCGTGATTTTTTTAAGTTTCGCATAATTTGAAAAAAACTCATCGATACGAATATTTTTTTTTTTTTTCAGAGTCACATTTATTAGGGTTTAAAATTAATTTTGATCAATTTTTGTTAGTTTTTAATTATGGTTCAATATATTTCATATTTTTAAATCATTATAAAATGAATTTTTTATATTTTATTTCAGTAGTTAATGATTTTAAGAATAATTGATTTTCAATGTATAGAAATTATTTTTGACCAATATCTAAACTAATTGAATAAAAAATATTCACAATTATTAGATGAAATGATTATAAAAATAAAAATTATACTATAAATAAAAATTATTTTTAGGCATTTTTTTAGATAACACTTTAAAACTAACTTAATAAAATTATTTACAATTAAATATTAGATGAAATGATTGTAAAAATAAAAATAGTGCCATAAACAAAAACAAAAACAAAAAATCGAGTTACTGATTTTATTTATTTATTAAAGATATTTTTTAGACAACATATTACCGTAACAAAATAAAAAATATTTACAATCAAATATTAAATAAAATGATTATAAAAATAAATACAACCATTGTTTATATATTTTTTATTTCACATGCTAATGTAATGAAAAAAAAATTAAAAATTATAAAGAAAAAAAAATCATATAAGATTTTTTCTTTGAGCTGGGATCACTTGAATATTTGTTCTTTTTTTTATAAACTTTTATTTTTTTTGGTTTTTGGAAAGGAACCTATGTAAAAGTGTATAACGGACAGTTATGTAATACTGAAACAATCGTTATACATGTGAATTTTCATCACACCGCTATAGCAATCGTAACAAGTGACGGTAACCATTACAATCATTACGTAACGACATTATATAATGGTCGCGATAGTTTTTTAAAATCTAAATCACAAGTGAGCATAAAACCCTTTTTTTAATTTATTTATAAAATTTCAAATAAAGAATTATTATTTATTCTAAATCTTGACACAAAACTCACCATTAATCGAACACACAATGTTATTCAAAATCATATTTCACAAATTAATATGAAAAAAAAATTAAATTTGATAAAGTATATGCAACAAAAATGAGGGAGGGGTGTCATTAGATTAATTATATTAGAGTAGGGAAAAGATTGTGTGTGGGCAAAAGTGCAAGGTAATTGCCCATATACATATATGTAGGTTGGGTCAATTTAATTTGTTAGCGAGTTGACAAACTTTAATTCTTATGCCAATTAATCCGTCAAATTTTATCAACTAATTAACTCATCCGACCCAACCCAATCTGCTCACCTTCTAAAATCACACAAGTTAATTTGAATCTAATTGAGGTTTACAGTTTAGTTATTTAGCCGCTTTTCTCTCTTTCTTTCTTATTGGTGACTCTTCAATAGAAATGGGTAAATTTGTAAAAATTGTTAGAGAACTATTTCCTATAACAATTTTATGAATTTTTTGTAAAAACAACTCGCTTTTTTTTAGTTGTTTTCCACAAAAATTAGTGAGTGCTTTCAGCATTCTTTTTTTGGTTGAAAAACACGAAAAACAGAAATAAAAACTGACAAAACAAAAGTTATAAATATGCTAAAACAAGCTTTTAATAAAATTAAAGACCAAGCATCAGAGTCACATATATATAGCCATTGATCTTCATCATGCAAATTACCCATTAATTAGAGTCCAACATAGACCAAATGGAGGAAGAATTACAGCAGAAAACCCCATTCCCCCACTCAAGAAAAATCACTGTATTTGTTTGGAAGGTAGGAGAAAATAATGAGTGCCGTGTCGTGTAAATAATATGGGAGTCATCATGTGCAAATGTCTGTGTGTGTAATAGTAGGAAACAATCGGATATCTTCAACCCAAATCAATTTCTAACGACAACGACCCTATACAAAATAATAAAAATAATAATAAAATGACATGAAAACTGGTTGTGAAATGAAAGTGACAAATTAAAGAATGAGATATTGTCATGAAATGAGCTGCTTGCTTTCCCACCTTTCAATCTATATAATGATTTTCAAACTTGAAAACATCAGTACCACTACAAAATTAATCATTTTTATAATTTTTTTTTTTATGTATCATGTAAT